TAATTTTAGGGGATGGGGAAAAGACTCAAACATATATCACCAAGTTCTTGTTGACAGAAATATAATTAACAAAATCAAACCCAGGTTTATCCCTTGATTCATAAAAATAATCTACTAAACTTCTCCCCTGGATAAGAGCCAGAAGTTTCTCATGGGTTATATCAGTTACTTTGTGCAGAAGTCCCTAATGAGACCTGCTAGCCGATACAACTCCTAGATGGCTGGACAGAAGAGGAATGGCAGAAAGCTGTAAGTGAAATTAAATTCTGCAGAAAAGAAACAGCAAGTCATCAAATCCATAGATCTGCCAAACAAAACCAGAGGGCATTCAATTTCAACTGGCTGAAAGAACAAATTTGATCTTAATTACTAAGAAGCTCTTACAAGTTGTGAGGAAGTCACAGTTTAAGGAGGATCAGCTTCCTAACTTCTTGATAAATTAGATTCTCAAGACTAACCTTTTGGATGTCAAAAAATACATCACATGCATGGCAGTCAGGAAAATGTCAGTGTTCGAGGGGGTAAGGTAAATGGCCAAGTAATCACTAAAATGACATCTATGCATGCTTAACAATATGCTAAGTCTGAAAAATAAAGATTTAATTTAAATATAAAATTTAAAGGAGCAATGCTACATACTAGCAAAAGTGTTTAAAGTTGCCATACTGACCTCTTGTCTTAATTAATTCCAGGGTTTCCTTCTCAATATCATATCCAATTTAGGGTATTCCTATAGAAATAGGTGAAGGGACCATTCTCCACTGCTGCCCACCCAATTCCGACGAAAGCTACCACTCACTCCCTGGGACATCAAGATAGTAACTTTAACATGATGACGTGTGACACTGTAGGCACAGCAAACCTGGCTTCTCAATGGGAGAACATCATGAAGGTGTAGAAAGCTCTGTTAAAGAACTTCTGTGGCTTAACAACGGAAAGAAGTTGATTCTATTCCAACTATGTAGTCTGTAAACTATATCAGCAAAACTGGTTACACAAAAGCCCAAGAATGATATCTGAATTATCAAGAGTATTTTACCTCCGTTTTATAAAACTAGTATTTTGATTAAATGTGCTTCACTGTAATGAGTTTCACAAAGAGAAAGTAAAACGTCAACTGAATACTTCATCATGAGTTTAGCAACCTAAAAAATAAAAATCTTCCAAAGTCTTTTTTATATAGTAAATTAGATAAATTTGCTGCTTCCTAGTTTCTTGTCATTCATCTGAAAAAGGTTCTCACTATAACAATGATACCTTCCTTCCTGCCACTTAATGTTACTGACATTATACTATCTTTTGGATTTTTCAGGAAGATGAAATAAAAGCAGTTTCTTTAGCAGAGGGAATTTTCATTTTCCATATTAATATTAAATCATAATCAAATAGTTTCATGAAGTTTTGATCCTAAGGCTGGAAGAACAAAAACATCCTTTAAAAATGCCTCTCTAGAGACACAGCACTGGAAAAACTGTCTTCTTATTATGGTACAAGTACTCTGTGTTTCCCTCCTCTCCACAGTGTCAATCAAGACTAATGACTTCAACCTTGCAGAATTAATAAAGTAGAACTCAGTTGTATGTTATTAGTAAATTCAAATTTACATAATTTTTAAGCTCCCTGGCTTAGTCATTTTGGGCTGTTATAACAAAAGTCCAATATTTATTTCTCACAGCTGTGGAGTTTGAAAGTCTGAGCTCAGCATGTCAGTATGGTTGAGTTCTGGTGAGGGCACTCTTTCAGATTTGTAGACCGACCACCATCTTTTCCTTGTGTCCTCACATGGAAAGCCTTCTCCAGGGTCCCAGACAGAAGGACACTAATTGCATTCGTGAGGGCTCCACCTGCATGGCCTACTCACCTTCTACAGGGTCTATCTCCAAATAGTACCATATTGGGATTAGGGATTCACATATGACACTGGTGGTGACATATATTTGGTCTACTGCATTGCCCTTTGAAGAAATCTTAGTCACTGGCAAGTAAGTGGCTTTCTGTCTAACACTAGGCACAGGAAACACACCCCAAACTCTGAGTCTCTGAAGAGTTACAGCATCTAAGCTTCAGTCTGGTCAATTTCGAAATGTGGAGATCAACATTTCAAAAGAGCTGAATTCCAGTACCCCACAAAAGAAAAACAGTGGCACAACAGAAAGAGCACTGGCCTTGAAATGAAGAGACTACACAGAAGTTACAGAAAACAAAGGGGTGGGCTTAGACCATGTGGGCTAGAACCCAGAGGCATTACCAAGGTACTGCAAGTTCCACAGATGAATAAACACCATGTCTAGCACAGAACATTTTCCAAACACCACAAATGCTGTCTGAATAAAGATTTGATAAATGTCAAGTCTTAATGATATCATTAAGGATTTTCTCCCTCAAAAGATACTGCAAGTTTTCTGGTGTTTAACAAAAGGTCCTATTTACTGAAAAGAGTTAAGAATCATTGGTCTAGAACTCCAGGTGACCTCTAAAGGTCTCTTACAGGGATTAATGCACAACCTATGACTCTTGTTCTTTCTGATACAGCAGCTCAGTCACCATTAATGTAGGTGAAGAAAAAAAGGTCCATCAACCCAATTTTAGACACTGTCATCTTATTTTTAAAAAATAATTTTTAAAATCATGAAACAGAAAAAAAAAGGCATTTGCATTTTAGCCAATCATCAACAAACATTTCTATTACATCCCAAGCAATCGAAACATCTCTCTGTGGCTTGAAAATCCTTAAAAAGACAGGAACAATGTAGTGTACACAGTCATTGTTATTTAGAAGTAAAGCCCATCTTTACATGTATTATGATGGCAGTAATACTAACCGCCTTTTAAAAACCATTTAATACCTTCTACAACTTTTACAGTACATCAGATTACAAGCTAACTCTCATGAAAGAAAACTGTCTACATTCTAACATAGCTACATATAAAATGAATAACTGATAAGTGAGAGCAAAGAGCTTTGAAAATCAGAAGAATCATATGAATGATAAAAAATAACGCAGACAACCAGTGCCCAGAAATTCAGCTGCTATTCAACACAAAATATGTGAAGTTGGATAAATGCCTCTGTGGTTTTGTTGATGTTAATTCCTTCTAGAAAGTAGCCCTGAAAGGTACTCTCCCCGATTTGGACAAAAAACAATGTCTCATAAGAAATCCAGTTACTGGAGAGGTTACAGAGCATGGGATAAGGAAATTGTTGCAAATACAGTACAAAGTCCATGGCTTCTAGGTCACTGCTACAATTCTGCCTGAGGCTCACTGTGACTAAAGCACAGGTTGCTCAGGGAGAGCTGCTCAGTGACCACTAAGACTCCTTCTACAGTGGTCCATCCATTGGCATCTTCTGCCTCCATCCTATGTAGGACAGACTGACATCTCCTAAGAATTCATCCATATCAGCACTCAGCACAAGGACCAATATGTCACTGTTCTGACTCAATGAATCATACACTGCAATACAGATCTTTAATATACTGAACCTTTTGCTTTCACTATTTTTATATGGGATACTGAACCACATTGTGAAAAATTATTTTTGCATAGACTTCAAAACAACTAATCATTCCTTTCTTTCTTGCCATGAGAAAATAACAGAATCAAAATCAGGATGACAAAATTTCTGAAATATATCAGCATATTTTTCACAAAACTCACTATCATCAGCTATAAGGCTGGGGCTGAGAAGAATTTTACATTTTCCCAATTTTGATCCTGCTCTTCCTACTCCTATCAAGGTGAAGTTAAATTGACTATCCAACTATTAAATCCCCTTAATCACCAAACTATCCTTTGTACTATGAACAGCCCAATTGTTCTGTAACTGTCCCTCATGTTATTCCTCAATTCTTTCCCTACTTGTAGGCACTTTGTCCTTTTTCTCTCAAATATGGAAGATTTGCCCCTCAGCAGTTTAAAAATAAATTTGTAGGGCTTATTCAACTTGATTAAGGCTCAAGAACTTTAGTAAAAATGCATAAGTTAGACTAAATATAGACTTGGAAGTCTTCATGAGAAAAACCCAGAGAAAAAAACGTGCCAGGAAAGAGTCAACAAAAAAGAAAGGTCTTACATCACGCCTTGAACTTGGTTTCCTAAAGGCACAATCTTTCTCATTTAAATGGCCTTCATCTACTTTACCTCCACCAGAGCCAGTCTGTTCATTCTCAGACATAAATACAGGGCCCAACATTATTGAAAATTACCAACGAACATATGCAACCCAATTTGTCCCTTTCATAGCAATTAATTGAATATTCTTTAGGGAATAAAAGGAAAAGATTTCTCTCTCACAGATAATCTCTGAACACATCCTCCCACAAATTCTATAACTTATTTTTTCCTAATTTCAAGATGAAAATCCAGAGAGCTGAGCCACAGGTTTTCCTTTCCATACTTAAGGCTTTTGGTCTGACCACAGACTACATGGGATTGCAGAGGCCCCTGCAAGTAGCTTAACACATGAAGCTACTACATCAACTACCCCCTGATGGATGCCTGAAGTTTGATTCCTGCTTCCCAGACAGGAGCTTGAACCAGAGATCTCATCAGACAAGGGGCTGGTTCTCATGAGAGCCAAGCTCGGGCAGCACTTAGTAAGATGATACTGCCTCCCAGGAGTACAGAAACCATCTACAGAGTCACTATACACAACCCTCTGCTCTCTCTGCAAAGCGCTGTGGCTTGCATCCAATGTTTAGTGTTGCACAAGCCAGCAGGCTGCCAGCGAAACACACCAGGGCCACCATAGACATCAGAGCCCAGGATGTCAGGGCCCAACTGTGTGACCACCACCACACTCGCACCAGCGGCTCCTACAGAACTTAAGAGACAGGGACAGCAAATTGAGATAGTTCAATACGACCTTTCCTCATTATAGCTGTTGATGACTGTAAAGACATACCTTCCAGACCAACTTTAAAAAATGAAGCACCCCCCCACACCCACCCCCAACCCCAGGACACATCACTAAGCAGTGTGGAATAAAAGAGCCTTACCATAAGGGTATTTGGTATCCAGCTTATTCTCCGCTGTCCTCCTCCAAGGCAACAGGTCATCGCTGCACCCATTTGGCATTCCATTGTAGCCGATTCCAACAATCTTGTTTTCTGCATTCACAATGCAGGCTCCAACCTACAAAGAAACAGGCCCAAGGCTTGGTGACTAAAAAAGGTTGATCTATCACTAGCATGCACTGAAAAGAACCAAAGCCCCATAGGAAAGGTACACATTCAAGAATACAGCACATAAGACAGTTTTAGGTTGACAGCTATTTCGTTTTCATAATGACCTTAATTCGTGGGTATCTCTTTCCAAGTATCCATTCTCCTGTGAAATCCATTTACCTGGGAATTTGGATCTTTGCTTCTCTGGGCTGATAAGAAAGCTACTGCCATGAAATACTCAGGCCATTCCAAATAGTCATCCCGTTTCTTGCAAGAAACTTCACTCACATTAGGTCTAAAACAAAAACATGACAAAATGTTGAGAAAAGCATTTTGGTAAATCTGCTTCCTAAGTCAGTCCACTAAACAGAACTCTGGTCTCTAAAAACAGTCAACTTCAGCTACATTTACCAATCAGAAATCACAAAACTTGGACACTAGACAGTCTGTGGTGTTAAGAAAACCATTAAAGGTATTTATTATATCAGAAGTTTGCTTTTGGTACCTATCTTTCATATCCTCAAATATTCCATCTATATAATAACAAGATGTTTCTTTGAGTTACACCATATTTTTCTTCCCTTCAACCTTAATAGAGTCAGCACAGGAGAAAAGAAACATTTAGTGATCATCTAGTAAGATTCTGGACACTGTTTTAAGTTTTTACACATCATCTCCCTCAAGCTCCATCCTAAGAGATGCAGTAACATCTGACCTTACACTCACAGAATTTAGGTAATGGAATTTGCCCTAAGTCACACAGGGAGTATTATCCATGCCAGCTGGATTGCAAAGATAACATCTTGAAGTTGTGAAAGTAACCTGGTAATTTGTTCCTTCTTTCCCCCTTAGAGTCCCTAGTCAGAAGTGTCAACACTGAGGGCAGAATCAAAGGAGAAATAATGACAAGTGCTAGTAGCAAAGCCAGGTTTTCTGTAACTTAGGTTTTACTCTGGGCAGGCACAGGTCTCTACAACAAGGAGAGCCCGGGAACTGGGCCAATTCATCCAGAGGATCCTTTCAAAGGGAATGATACTAGGGTAAAGGAGGAAGGAGGGCAACTCAAAATCACTCAATTTCTCAGATCAATGAGAAATCCTGAGAAAGCCTACGTGTCTGGTCTAAAGGAAGGTGAGAGTTCCCAAACTTTCACCTCAGGGTTTAGACTTTAACCAGACACTGCAGTGCAGTGCGTAAGTGCCCAACACTCTAGAATACAGGTTGGTATCAGGAACCATGGTTACTCGCTCATTCCCTGGCCCAAATCTTGAGACGTCTGCAAACTCAACAGGAAGAGATAGGATGCTGGGTGGGACTGGTTTCCCGATAGGTTTAAAGGCTCGCATCCATAACGGCTGTAGGATGCCAGATAGGCACTACCTCTTAATTGGAAAGCGAAAAAGGGGGTGGAGGAGGGGGAAAAAAGGGGGTCAGGTAGGGAAAGAAGTTTTCCACCTGGCGCTCGACCCGGGCGCGGTTAAAGCTCCCTGGCGCCCGATAAGGACCCAGGTGGGCACTGAGCCTCGGATACACCTGGCTCAGGAAGATCCGGCACGGGACAGGCAGAACCCAAGCTCCTCGCAACTCCCCTCAACTCTGATCGAAGGACTAGAGCTGCATTCCCACCCATGGCGCGGGTGCCAGAAAGGACCATTTTCAGACTTCAGAACCGCGTCCCTCCACCATCGCCGAGGACAACGCCTGGCAAAGGCCGAGGGGCAGCCGCTGA